AAGTTGCAGGACAAGTTCTGAAAAGATTCTGTTCTTCATGTAGAAATGGTAATTTTTTTCCCTAAGAATTATAACGAAGCTGGCATCTCCATGGATTTTAATGCCAGGAGACGAGACACTGCTTTGGCACTTTGACATTTCAAAGTCCTGCTACAGGCCATGGAGATGCTCAAACTGTGTTTGCTTTTTAAAGGCTTAAACTGTAGCCTGTAATTTCTTTAAAACCAGAATGACCTTTAAGTATATACGAGATGTATACCTAGGCAGAGATGTAGAATAACGTATTCTTAGCTTAGTGCGAGTATACTGGAGAACTTGTATTTGGTTTTCTAAAATAGTTTGCGTTGTACTTTGAATCCTGTAGGCAGAAGCAAAAAAGTTGGAGGATGCATCAACATACTTAAGTTTGCCATCTACTAAAATAGAGTTGGAGGAAAAAGGACACTCTACAACAGGGAAAAGCATGCAGAATCTTGGAAGCTGTACCATCAGCAAAGATTCTTTTCAGATTTCCACTCTGGTTTGTTCAACAAAGCTTACTCAGAATGGTGAGTTAATCAAGGAAATCTTTGAGCTGTCTTTGATCCCACTCTGCAGCATGTGTGATCAGGGGAGAGTGTTAGTGTCCCCTTTGTCTTTTTTATTAGGTCAATGTTATAATACATAAGGTGCTAGTTTGACAGCCCCGACTAATGAAGTCAGGTGTAGGCACAACAGAAATGCAGCCTGAGGCCATGATCAGGTTTTATTTCTAGAGGTGGAAACTTTGAGAAATTTCCACTTCTAGAAATGCTACCAGGAAGAGGAAACAGTACAGGCATATATCCTGTAGCATCCCCCTCTCTCCTGCTCTCCACACCCTCTCCCAACTGGGGTGATCCCCATCTCAGGAAGGCATGGACAGCAGCTGCTACTTCACCCTTCCCATTCCCCAGATGGAGTGAAGTGACAGGGAAAGACTCCTTCCCCTGATCAGGGACCCTCATTTGGGGAATGGGTGGGAAGCAGCCTCCTCCATCTCACACCTTGTCTGTGGGAGCAGAGTAGCATGGCAAAGCATGTTCACAGATCAGGCACTGTGCCCTACATAATGTCTGTACGTGCCCTAAGCCAGAGGCAGAAGCGTGTTCAAACCTTACTCTGCATACATGCTTCAGTTTGGTTCTAGCATGATTGTCCACATTTATATGAGCGTAAGGCCTATTAATCCAAGACTCTTTCAGCTACTAAAATTAGTGTCTCCTACACACCTGCAGGATTTGTGGGCTTTAAAAACAAACAAACAAAACCAAAAAACTTTTAGTGTCTCATATGTAGGGGTGAACAATAGATTTATATTTTTCTTGTCCCGTTAAGTGCCTTTGTGAACTCAGGCGTGTAGGTTGTAGCCATGTTGGTCTAAGGACATAGTCAGACAAGGTTCCTTGGGTGAATCTGATATCTTTTATTAGACCAACCCAAATAGTTGGAAAATAATTATTAAGCAAGCTTTCGGGTTCAAAAACCCTTCGTCAGGGTAAGGAAGTTTCAGCAGTTGGTGTGTGCTCTTCCTGGATGGAATGAAAAGTAAAGAAGCCAGTGGCTGGGCTGGTATGCATACAAGACAGGTAGCCAGTGAAAATGTAGATTGAGGAGTCAATGGGTGAGAGACAGGTGGGGGGGGGGGAGGGGGGGAGAAGGGGGATGGAAGTGGAGAGATACCTGGGGAGTCAGATGTCAGGCAGGTTATAATGTGTCATAAATCCAATGTCTATATTTAGTACTATGATTTTTAGTATCTAGAGGTTGATGAAGTGGAGTTCATAGGCTTGTCTCTGGGAAGTGTTTTGTAAGTTTCCTTTGAGGATCAGGACTGAGAGATTGGAGAGAGAGTGGTTTTCTTGTGAGAAATGTGCCCCCACAGGTAATTGGGCATTTCTGTCTTTGATAGATTTCCGGTGTGCGTTCATTCTGGTGCGCAGTTGTTGTTTGGTCTCTCCTACATATTTTCTATCAGGGCATTTGGTGCATTGGATGAGATATATCACGTTTCTGCAGGTCCAGCTGTAAGATCCAGGAATGCTGATGGCTCTTTTGTAGGGTGTAGTAATAGTGGGGGTGGTGGAGATGTGTTGGCAGGTTTTGCATTTCTTGTCATGGCACGGTCTGGATCCTTTTGGTGTGTTCTGGGCTTGAGGAAGTTTGCTTCTGGTGATGAGGTTAGTTTGTGAACTCAAGATCTGATCTAGAGCATGGTAGCATAAATGGGCTCCCCACTAGATTTTCTTATAAAGTTTCCAGACCATTGTGCAGTACTTTCTATGTGACCTGAAAAAAATTCTCTGGCCCAGAGGCCTGAGCACAGGTGGGCAAGAGGAATTAGGAGGGAAGAAAACCCCATCATCATGGCACAATGTGTCCTAAATTTGAAGCTCATGGAATGGAATTGGAAGGCTGTAGTTACCTCATTGACTCCTCACACCTGTTTACCCAAAACCTGCTTTTCATACGTTTTGACTGCTTGATGCAGTGGTTAGTTGCAGGAACTTCAATGCATGAAGGCCACCAAAGTTGATGTTTCCTAACCAGTTAGCTTCCTCCTTTTGTTGTTGGGGCTGTCAGCACATAAAGGGAGGGGCCTGACCTAGAGAACCCAGGTATCTATAGTATGTAACTTCTCTGACCTTTCTGCTTTAATAAAGTCATTGTACTTCTTTTTTTGAATTTAATAAATGAGAGATCATGTATATTTATATTTTGGGATAGTTCCCTATCTAAATGAGTGACAGTGGTTTGAAAAATCCATTGAAAGGCCTCATTACTACAAATCATTGTTTGTGTTGATCAGAAAGACTTTCACTATGAATTTGCATAAATGGTTATAAATCTACATGTCTTGTGATGCATACAATACCGAGTGGTGCTTTACTGCCAGTAGCCATTAAGGTTCTTGAGTTGATGGATTCTTTATTCAGTTCTCTGTCCAAGCAGAAAAGTCACTGGCCTGATATGACTTCTTAGTCACCTCACAATTGTACCGCAGTCTTTTTAGTGACATCTCTGTTAAAACTCATTCTGGGTATTTCATATTCAAAGCACATCAGATTCACTGCAGTCAACCAGTCTTATGGCATAAGAGGATACTTAGCAATAATTCTGAAATAATTTTAGAATTGCATCACAAATATATGATCACATCTTAATGATAATGCCATAATTTTATGGTCTCATAAAACACAGCTCGCAGAATCCAATATGTGGGGTTGCATTACTGGCTGCATTGTGTTTAGTTTGTGATTTGTAATGTTCATTGTTATGATGTCTTGCTTATGTGTTTACTGATGGATTTTAGTAGTATTCAGAACTTGACATGGTGGTCAGTAAGTTAACTGGGCGTTTATAGATAAAAAAACAATGTGTATTAAGACTGGGAGAGCAATAAATGTTTCATACATTATTCACATGTTTGCATTATGCTTTGGTTCATGCTGTCATTCTCTGTTTCTCATGGCTGATGATTGTTATTCTTGTAACTTTTTTCAAAAAGAATCCTGTGTAATTTTAAGACAATGTCATTAAGATCCTTATGGATTTGTTCATAGACATGTGAGAGAAAAAATATTAACATGGAGGAATAATATGTTATGTTAACACCTCTTTTAATTGAAAACTCAGGTTTCTTATTTTTAAAGGGATGCGGTCAGTGCAAAAATCACACTTTTATTTCTGTGATTTTTTTAAAATTGATGTAATCCCACAGATTTTTCAGTTATAGTAAATACTTTCTAAAGCTATTTATCTTACTTGTTTTGGGGATTTGTCTGCCCTGTCTATAATTTTACTGTGTCCTTATGTGTATAGAGATTTTTTACAGTTATTTGGATAGACAAGTATTTAAAAAATTGTGATTACAGAATAGCAGGGTTTTTTGGAGATAAGCTTTGTCCTGAAGCTGTTTTTAATTAAAAAAAAAAATTGTCCCTTTGACATTAATAATCCATAGTAATGCTTACTTTATTAATATTGACAATTATATTGAGCATAGTTATTTTTTCCTTTTTGATGTCTGCTGTTTCCTTTTGTCATCCTTCTGTTGTTACATGTGAAAGATTTTTTTTTTTTGACTGTGTAGTCTTTTTTCTCAATTCAGCTTTCATACTCCCCATGGATTGATTAATCATGGCACTTCCTTTTTTCTGAAATGTATTCTACATTTCATATCTTTTGGTGCGTGTACTCTAGAACAAGCTGTTCTTGAACTTCATTCTTTAAGTGGCTGTGCCTCTCGGATCTATAGGGGGGTATTTTTCCTTTTCAGCTGTTGAATATAAGATGGACTTAAAATCTACATAGTGTCTCCTATTCAGCAAATATTGGTGATCAGTGAGTTTTACTACTTCATCTGTGTGGATATGGTAATTTTTTATTTAAAAGGTCTTTGCTTAGTTAACATTTAAATAGGCATAATTGACCAGCATTATAAAAAGTTATTTGAGTAATAATATTGTTTCTTAGCCTCTGTTATTGCACAGAGTGAACAATGCAAGTCCAAGAAAAAGGTGTAGAAAAAGGTTTACTAAACTAGTAAAGGCACAAATCATAAATAATAATAAAAATGTTTAAAAATGTATAAGAAGCAGGAAACAAGTTTGAGAATCAATGGGACCATTAGATGACCAAGGTGTAAAAGGTGCATTTAGGAATGGTAGGGCAATAGCATTTCTTTGCATTTGTTTTACTGCAAAAGATGCTGGGAGAATGGCTGGCTGTGCCAGATCAGTCCTTCATGTAAATAGGTCTGAAGATCTGGCTCTCATTGAAGTGACAACAGAAGTTTAAGAACAAATCATTAAGTACCAATAAGTTACCAGAACCTGATGGCATTCACCTGAGAGTTCTGAAGGAACTCAAAGGTGAAATTTGCAGAACGGTTGGTAGCAATACTATCGTTACAAACGGCTTGTATGTCAAATGACTGGCAGGTTGCCAATATAACATCTATCTTCAAAAAGGGCCTCAGAGGTGATCCTGGGAACTACAAATATGATCTGCTGGGGAAGAGTCACCATGGTTTTTGTAAATGGAAATCCTGCTTTACCATCTGCTGGAGTTTTTTTGAGGCTGTTAACATGCATGTGGATAAGGGGAATCCAGTTGACATAATATATTTGGATTTTCAAAAGGTTTTCAACTAGTTCCCTTACCAGAGGCTTTAAAAATGAGTTTCCACAGGATTGGAGGGAAGGTTCTTTGGTGGATGAAGAGCTTGTTGAAGGATAGAAGGCAAAAGGCAACGGTCATTTTTCAGGATGGAGGAAAGTCAATAGTGAGCTCTTGCAGGGGGTTTAATTCATTTTCATGAATGACCTAGAAATAAGTATTTATAGTAAAATGTCCAAGTTTATGGATGATATATTATTCTGTATGGTCAAATCCTAAGCTGATGGAGAGGAACTGCAGAAAGATCTTATCAAGCTAAAGTGAGTGGCAAAAAAATGACGGATGAACTTTAGTGTTGACAGGTGCAAGGTAATGCACCTAGAGAAGAATAACCTCAACTATATCTACA